ATGTATATATAGTGTCATAACCATTTAATGTTCTTCGATAGCATGTCAGTGGGGATGAAAAGAAACCCATCTGACGAAAAGAGGAATCTAGCCAATAGTTGTCAATCTTCAGTTAACTTTACCAGTTTATCACCAACTTTACAATTACCTTCTTCTGACATGTGCTGAATGTCTTCATCTTTATCATCATCCCAAACTGAATTTCTGCTGTATCAACAGTGACAGGGAATTCCGAAAACTCAGAAATAGACAATATCTAAAATAAGAATTTCTGAACTTTTTACTAATGACCAATGCTATCAAATATTCTGATGAAAAGCTCAAAAATGAAATATATTTTTCAATTTATTGGATTAAAGTGGCAAATCGTCAAGGGTGGATAAATTGAATTTTGAAGGTGAATCGACGTCAAAATATCTCCGTTGATACAACCGTCGTCAGATATACACATTATTTTATTAAATATCAACGTTGAGACGAAGTCATGCATCGGTGCCATAACTTATAAATACTGTATAAACGTTGGACCGGCCAAAAATATAACAGATAACATAAGACAGCAATAAAAACATTGGAATTTTGTATTTTGAACAAATTTATTTAATTAAAATCATTCACACAAGAACCTTTAATATTTCATAGTGCTTGTTTAACATGTTAACATTCCATTTCATTGTTTAAAACCTAAGTGTAAGTGTGACACAGAAGCATACTGTAGCAGCACAATCCAAAGGCTGGGATTGGTACCATGACTACTTTTTCTTTTTCAGGCTAAAAAAAAAAAAAAATAGATTAATTATGAAATTGAAAAAAGTTTAATTTTTAATTTTAAAGATCAACGTTTAACGTTTAACGTTTAAGATATCATTTGATCTGGTAATGGAATTTTGATTTAAAGTGAGTCAGAAGCGCTCAGTTTATTTTATACTTCCATTTCAAACACAATACAGCCGCTGATCCAGGATTTTCCTTCGCTCAGAAAGGACCTATACGAGCTTAGCTACGAGTGAGGTATGACTCTATGGAGTTGGTTACGAGTTATGTACGAATTATGCCGAGCAGAGCACCGAGTTAACTACGAGATTATTAAGAGTGTAACAAGTTTGTACCGAATTAGATACGAGTTAGGTACGAGCCAATTCGATGCGCTCGTACTTACTCGTACTCGTTTTTGGGTGCTCGCATCAAACTCGTAGATGAAAAAACCGCCGACGAGTATCCAGAGTAGTGTACGAGCTAGGTAGGAGTACCCCGAGTACTCTACGAGCTACCTACGAGTTCTTCGAGTTTACTACGAGTTATCTACTCGTGGCGATAATTTTGAACATGTTCAAAATTAGCGCGACGAGTTCAGAGCTGCTACGAGTAGGTGAGAGTCCTCTCCGAGCTTTCCGAATCGTGCTACGAGTTTTTGCCGAGTTTGCCGAGTTAGCAACTCGGCATTCTCTTGTAACTCGTATGCTGAAAAAACCCCTAGTGGGAGAGGGGC